TGCTGTGGCGCGTCGGTGGCCGCCGCGAAGGGGAAGGAGGGTTGTGCGCGCTCAGCCCCGCGGAGCTCCAGTGACTTGATATAATAGAGGAAAGCTTGTCCTGCAACAGTCGTTTGGGAGAGAAGGAGGCATCTTACGTCCTAGTGAAAGTAAGTTCCGCCCAGACTTTAAAAAGCAAAACAAAAACTTGGTGAGTTCATTTGGCCTCGCCCCAAGATCCTGGGAGGCCAGTTCCTCAAAACCGTTAGAACCCAGCCCATCCTCTGGGCCCTGGGGTTTTCCTACCGACTGCAGCTCTGTCCTCCATGGGACAGGAATGAAGGCATAGAGTGAACTTGGACGACGTCAAGGATGGGAACTCCCGTGGCCCTAGAAAGGGCTTGTTTTTTCTGGAAAGTTATTTGTGTCCTGTATCAGGCCAGGTTCATTTGCGAAGAAAAGGGCAGCATCCTAGTTGGGGAGGCTGGGATGTGTTGTGATGCCTCTCATGTCTTTACAAGCGCGAGTGGGGATGTTAGGATGGGTCCCTGACCAGATTTAACACTCACTGCAGAAGGGTTTCAGAATGATAAAATACCCCCTGCCCCCAAATTCCAATATACTATCGTCGAAGCCTTTGAGTTGGGGCAGTTTGGAAAAGTTTTTGTCTGGAGTGTCCACTTACAAGATTTCAAGGGGTGGAGGTTTGTTGTGGTATACTTTAAAGTTATGTCATCCTCATTTGATCAGGAAAACTCCTTTCTACTCTTCTGTCATGTGGTTACTGTTCATTTTAAAGTTTCTTTTTTAGAAAGTGATTATCCTGTTGACTAATCTTACTTTATATATGAAAGGACAATTTTTTTTCTTTTTAGTCACCGGAAAATTTCCAGAATCCCCCCTCCACACCCCCTTTCTTAAGAGAAAAATTAGATGCATACTTCAGATGACAAAAGTGGGTTGTCTTTTTTAAAAATACAAGCCAGGTTTGGTGGTGCACACCTGTAATCCCAGAACTCTGGGAGGCTGAGGTAGGGCAATCACAAATTTTAAGTCCATCCTGGGCAATTTAGTAACTTGGTTATTCCCCCCCCCCGCCAAAAAAGGGATAAATTGATGCTTTATCAAGGTAAAGAAAATAGGTTATTTCCTCAAATTGATAGCAGGTGGAGAAAAATCATGAAGCAGTAATGTAATTGGTAGTAGACCATTTGTTGGGGTGCTTTAGTAAGTTTACTGTTTGAGGTTTTCAAAATTTTTTTTTCTTTTTTGAGACAGGACCTTACTATGTCATTCAGGCTGGCCTTTGGACTCATTATGTAGTCCCGGCTGGCCTCGAACTCATGGCTATCTTCCTGCTTTAGCTTCCCAAATGCAGAGATTGATTACAGGTATACATCACAGCAGTTAGCTAGATCTTCAAATTCTTTCTTTCTTTTTTTTTTTTTTTGGTACTCGAGATTGAATTTGGGTCCTTGGACTTGGAAGGCAGGCTACTGAACTGCTGAGCTAAATCTCCCCCCGCCCCTTTATTTTTTTTGAGACAGGTCTCACTATGTAGTTGAGACTGACCTGGAACTCACTGTGTAGCCCAGGCTGGTCTCAGACTCACAGCGATCCTCCTGCCTCAGCCTCCTGAGTGCTGGGATTATAGGCCTGCACCACCATGCCCCGCCTGGCTTTCAAATTCTTATAATACTGCTGGGCTAGCATTCCTGAGGCTGAGGTGGGAGGAGTGCAAGTTTGAGCCCAGTCTAGATAATTTAGACCTTGTCTTCAAATAAAAAAAGGGTTGGGCTGTAGCTCAGTAAGAAGGCCCTGGGTTCCATCCTCAGTACCACAAAAAAACAAAACAAAAAAAGAAACTTATAATACAGATGTCGATCATCTGTTTCATATGTATTAAATTTGTGATTTGGAATGATGTAGTTGGAATTCAGTTCAAGGCATTAGTGTTGGAATGGAACTCAGAGGAAAATGAGGCCCAGGAAGTGTGTAGGACCTACATCCTGCTAATTTGTTGCTTAAGTCTGTCCAGCTCCCTCCCCCTTTGCAGTGCTGGATGAACCTAGAACCTTGCACATGGAACACGCTTTACTACTGAGCTACATGCCCAGCCCATTGCTCCTCTCTTGACATGTAACTATTTCATTGTCCCAGCTGGAAGGCTTTAGAAAACATTAACACATTGAGAAAGGTTAAAAATAACACAGTGATTCAGGGATTGGATGTGGCAGCACACCTGTAATCCCAGCACTCGGAGGCTGAGTCGGGAGGATTGTCAGGAGTTTGAGTTCAGCCTGGGTTACTTAGTTCAGTCTGAACTACATAACAAGACCCTGTCTCATAAAACCTCACCCAAACCAAACCAAAACAACAACAACAACAACAGCAAACAAAAAACAACACCCTCAAACACAACAGTGATTCATAATGAAATTTAGAGATGGAATAAACCAGTTATTTTGATGTTGTGCTTCTGAGTGTCTGTTAAATTGTATGAGTTCTAGAAAATAAACAGGATGATTGACAGATGATAAACAGGAATGACAGCATGAAGTTACTGTTAGTGAGAGCCTGGGTTTTAGGGTTAAACATTACTGCTCTACTCTTGACTATCTCTGTGGCTGAGGGCAAGTTAAATAACCCTGCCAGGGAGAAAAATAAAAAGCATCAAGTAGAACCTCAAAAAGTGTTTTCCTTAAAAGAGAACTGTTACTCTTTTTTTTAACAACTATTAATTATCTGGCTTTACAGATATCCTTGTGCAAGTTTATTCAGAGAGTAAAGGAGGATGAGTTTTATTTATAAATGTGTAAAGCAGATTTTCTGTCTGTTTAAATGTGGTTGAGGTAGAGGACTGCCAAGACCATTTATCCACTAGATGACTTTAGACAGAATAGACACTGATTGAAGGATATTTTTCCCCTTAATTTCATTCTGGTGGGTTGATAGGGGAATCTAGACTACCCAGAGAGAGTCTTTGAGTAAAACAAAACAGAATACAAACAGCTATGTGCAGCCCATATTGAGACTCTCCGGGGTGTATTTTCTCTCCTTAGCCCTGCCTTCTCGCTTCTAAACTAATAATGTCACAGTGAGTGAAACTACAGGAAGTTGTGAATTGCACTCAGGTTTTTAGGGGGAGGTACTGAGGAGGTACTGAATTATGTACCTCAAGTAACTTTTGAACTCTCAAAAAGTGTACCTAGTAGAAGCAAATCAAAGGTCTTCAGCAGAGCATGGTGGTGCAGGCCTGTAATCCTAGTGCTTGGGAGGCTGACGCAGGAGGATTGCTGTGAGTTTGAGCCCAACATGGGCTATTAGTGAGACTGTCTCATAAAACAAAAAAGAAAGAAAGAAACAACAAGAACAAAAAAACCCCATAAAGATGTTCATTGTTTCTTCTGGTTTTGTGGAGAAGGATTGGGATTTATCCTACTTTGTTTTCACCAATAAAGTATGGAGTTTACAATGCTGCATACACTCAGATCTTTGGATTTTTGTAGGTGTCTCCTGCTGTCACCTCTTCCTCTTTTTCAAAGTCTCAAGCATATTAAGTAAGTCATGTAGTTCTTTGATGTGTGAGAGACTAAGGAAGGTGTGAAAATTAATTTTCTTTTCTGATTAGTTGAAGAAGTACTTTAGGTTTGAAGGAGAGGAGGGTAATCTATGAAGCACAAATATTAGCAAACTTCAGCAAATGGTATCTGCTCGTGCCATTTATTTATTTAGCTTGTGCCTTTTAGATAAACCAGACAGGAAAAACTGCTTGCAATTTATGTTTTCCATTATTGTTGGTTCATCCTAAATAGGGAGGCAGATCATAGTAGAGTCCTGTCCTTTCTGCTGTTTGATATGTAAGTGTTCTGGGGGATCTTCATTTTCCTTGTTTCTTCACGTGGTCACAAACAGGTGACTGCAGGAGAAGGGTTTATCTTGATTTGGATTCCTGTGTCAGTTTATCTTTTCTCTATCTGAGAGTTATGTTGCAGAATGCTTGTGACCTATTTGTTTTCTTTCTCTCTCTCCCTCCCCTGTCCTCCCCTCCCTTTCCCTCCCCCCCTTTTATTTCTTACTCTAGTACAGAGATTGAACCCAGGGCCTCATGCTTGCTGGGCATATGCTCTGCCCCCAAATCATATCATCTCCAGACCATTTTATTTTAGACAGTCTTATAAGTTGCCCAGGTTGGCCTTGAACCTGTGATCCTCCTGCCTCAGTCTCCTAAGTAGTTGGGTTTACAGGTGTGCACCACCACATCCTGCCCCATACATCTTTTTAGCCAGATTCACTGGCTTTTTTTTTTTTTTTTTGGTACCAATAATCAAACTCGGGACCTTTCACTTGTGAGGCAGGCAGCAGAACCACTGAGCTAAATCCCCGGCCTTACACTGGCTGTTTATATATGACAGCTGGTGGCTTCTTGTGGAATTCATTGATTAAACCCAAATTATCATTGACAGAGTTTTAGATTTATATCTTAAAACTTATTAAGTGAGGTAGAAAATAGTTGTATGCTTACGTTCTAGATATTCTCTGTTGATTTTAGTTTGAGAATATTTAGAATCTCAGGCTGAATGTATGAGTGTCAGAGTCCTGTATACATATGACAGTTTATGGAAATATAATTTACCTTATGTAGAGCATATAGTTCAGTGATTGTTAATATGTTCAAAGTGGTACAGTTAACCACTACAATCAATTTTAGAACATATTTATTACTTTACTCCCAAATACATCTTAGTATTTTCCATTTTCTCTTAAACTCATACCTCCCAGCCCTGGGCAACTTATTAGTCTAACTTTCAATCTGTGTAGATTTGCTTGTTTTGGACATGACATACAAGTAAAGTCATATAATATATACTATATCATCTCACACTCTCTCTTTCTGTTGTTTTTTTTTTGGTCCCGGGATCGAACTCCGGTCCCTGCACTTGCAAAGCTAAATTCCTTTGTGTGTCCCTCCCTCCCTCCCTCCCTCCCTCTCTCCCTTCTTCTCTCCCTCTCTCCCTGTCTCCCTCTCTCCCTCCCCCCTCCCCCTCTAAGTAGTTCAGATTGGCCTTGAACTCTTAAATATATAATCTCACTGCCTTCCTAGCATAAGGTTTCCAGGGGTCATCCATGTTTAGCCTATAGCAGTGTATCATTCCTTTTTATAGGTGGT